ACGTGCCCGGTGGGCGTGAACTTCCGTCCTAACCAAGCTCCGCCCCACCATGGTCAGCATGTGCCGCCCAAGGCTGCAGTGCCGGTAGGGAGGTTTTTACCTCAGGTAAAAATCCCCGAGAACTTGGTGAGAGAAGGTGTTTTCCAACTGAGAGTAAGAAAAGCAAGGAAAGGGCAAAAGAAAGGCCGCTTGGAAATCTCGGGAGCCTTTTCTTGTGAGGCCTGGCCTACAAGCCAGGAGGGGCGAGACACGGAGACTAGAGGCCGCCCAACCGTAGGCTAGGACCGTGGCACGAAGGTCACAGGAAGGCCCGTGGGATGGCAAGCCCTACCCCCAGCCAGAAGGTGTATGGTTCAACAACATGAGTACACTTCAACTCCTCTGCGATTTTACATTACTGTTTCTTAGGTGGATAGGGAAGAAGAAAGGAGAAAAACTTCTAGATGCCCTAGGATGTGAGAAGATGGGCTGAACCCTGCGTGGTATTAAATGACCTGATTATTGCCATAAATTTCCAGTAGGAGATCATAGGACTTGGCCAAGAGGTAGCCCAAGAGAAACTCTTTAGAAATAAGTAATTAGTTATATCCTCAGAAGGGAATGGGAGGAGAATAAGAAGGCGTAATTAAAGGGGTAAATAAAGTTGGCAAACAGGTAAAGAAAAAATTAGGAAATTACTGTGACTGACTCAGAAGTTCATTAGTGCCCGCAAGCTGTGGTTCAAGCCTATTTATCCTAGCCACTCAGGAGCTGAGATCTGAGGATCATAGTATGCAGTTAGCCCAAGCAGAAAAGACCCTGAGACTTTTTTTTTTTTTTTGGTCAGTCACAGGGCTTGAACTCAGGGCCTGGGCATTGTCGCTGAGCTTTTGTGTTCAAGAATAGCGCCATGCACTTTGAGCCACAGCTCGACTTCCGGTTTTGTAGTGGTTAATTGGAGAGAAGAGTCTCACAGATTTTTCTGTCTGGGGCTGGTTTCGAACCATGATCCTCAGTTTTCAGCCCTTTGAGTAGTTAGGATTACAGGTGTGAGCCACCTATTCTCAGTGGAAGTAGATGTGGTTCAGGTGGTAGAGTTTCAACCTTGCGAAAAGCTTAGGCCCAGTTCAAGCCCCAGTACTGGCATCAAAAAAAGTTGATTATTTAAGAGTACGTTTTTTCTTTTTTCTTTTTTTTTTTGGCTGTGGGGTCTGAACTCTGGACCTAGGCACTCTACCACTTGAGCCACAGCGCCACTTCCAGCTTTTTCTGCTTATGTGGTGCTGAGGAATCAAACCTAGGGCCTCATGCATGCAAGACAAACACTCTACCACGGAGCCACCTTCCCAGCCCAAGAGTACCTTTTTTCTAACCATGATTTTGCTTATCTTCTCCATGTCTTTGATTCTAGAAATAAGGCCTATTTGTCTTTCTTCCCAGCAGCCTACTAGTATAAGATGAGTTTAGACCTGTGTATTCAATGAAATTAACAGATGAAATTCTAATAATGTACATAATTATGCAAATAAGTATTTGGAATGAATTTCAGTGATTGACCTCAAGATACAGGTAACTTTATTTGTGGGTGGGAAGGGCACTGTCCCTGAGATTTTTTTTTTTCCGGTCCAGTTGTGGGGCCTGAACTCTGGGCCTGGGCACTGTCCCTCAGCTCTTCAGCTCAAGGCTAGCGCTCTACCACTTGAGCCACAGCGCCACTTCCAGCTGTTTTTTTCTTTTTGCTTATGTGGTGCTGAGGAATCGAACCCAGGGCCTCAGGCATGCAAGGCAAGCGCTCTACCACTGAGCCACCTTCCCAGCCCCTAGCTCATTGTTCTTATGCTCTTAATTGAGAGGTTAAATTTTCATTTTTATTATATCATCTACCAGGATAAAAAAAGTTACTCGAGTGAACTAGAACTCTGTTTCATTTACAGAAAATAAAAAAGACATACAGATATATTTAGGTTTTATTATTCCCTCATAACTGATGGAAGCAAATATAAAGTTATAAAATATGGGTATCAGAGCAGGTCACTGGCAGCCCACATTTGTAATCCTTGCTATTCAGGAGACTGAGATCTGAGGTTTGTAATTCAAAACCAACCCAGGCAGGAAAGTCTGTGAGACATTGATCTCCAATTAATCACCAGAAAAGCTGGAAGTAGAGCTGTGGATCAAGCAATAGAATACTAGCCTTGAGCAAAAAAGCACAGGGACAGACCCCAGGCCCTGAGTTCAGGCCCCAGGACTAGCACACACACACACACACACACACACACACAAATACAGTGCTTATAGGGAATCAGAAGTCATCTTAACATTACTTACTACTTGCAAAAGTAGTAATAGATGCTCCAATAATCATAGCTACTCAGGAGGCTGAGATCTGAAAATCTCAGTCCATAGCCAGTCCTAACAAACAAATCCATGAGACTCATCTCCAATTAACCAGTAAAAAGCTGGTACTGGAATCTGTGCTCTAATGGTAGTGTTGACCTTGAATGAAAAAAACAAGCGAATTCAAGGCTGAGTTCAAGTCCTAGTACAGGCATCAGAAGAAAAAAAAAAAGAGGTTCAAACATCCTCAAACTTTTGTCCTTGTTTTTGGTATCTTAATTTCTTGCTAATTTACTACACCTCATGTTGTAATACAAATTTTATACTAAGCAGTGGTAAATCTTGCAAAATATGCAGGACCATGTATAATTTGTGAAGATAGTATTAAGAACCACTCATATAAGTAAGGCTATTATTAAATAAAGATCCTACAAGATAAGATCAGTTAAAGAAGAGAAAGAAAATGATTTGAATATCAAGAGGCAGTGATCCTTGCCTCCTTGAATATTTTCTCAAATATCGTCTTTATGGTCAGAGGTGAAATAATGACTAACATCATGCATATGTCAATACTCTATGTGAAAAAATTATTACCATTTATTCTCAGATAATAACCTCTATGTTTTTTTTGTTTGTTTTTGTTTTTGAGACAAGATCTTTATCACCCAGGCTGGCCTGTTACTCATAATGTACAGCTTCAACTTCTTAATCGTCTTGCCTCAGCCACCCAGTGCTGGGATTATAGGTATTTGCCACCATGTCCAGCACTTACTTAATATGTTATAACCTTCAGCAAACTTAAACCTCTTGGAAAATAATGCAAGAAACTATCATTGTCTGAATATGTAGAATAATGAATTCTGTGGGAAGTTAAGAGTCATAAGTGAAGGCTTTATAAGGAGATATTGTTTAAGATATTGGAAGATGAGTCGGCTTTAGTTAGCTGGAATATAGCAGAGCTGTTTCAGAGGATTACTGTGTGGACTGTAGTGTTGATAAGGGAGCCACAGCTGACTGCTAAAGTTGAGCAGAGGAGGGACAGTCTATTTAGAGAGAACAATGGAAGTTATTAGAAAGTCAAGACAGAGCTAAATGAGAATATATGTTAAAAGATTTTCTAATTTTCATATATAGGATTTAGTTAGAAAGAAGTTCTGCAGAGGTTTATTTCTTCAAAATCCTTCATGTTTATGTCAAGATGGAAACAATATTGATGACGAATATAGGAGGCCATGGACAAAAGGTATGTTTTGCTTTTATATTTCTCAAAAATATAAAGAACTGTTTCAGAGTTTAGCACAGAATTGAGAAAATGCAATACTTTATGCATTAAAAGCTCATTACATTTATTCATGTCAGAACATCAAGAAGTTTTCAAGTTGACATTCTTTCTCTTTTTTATTAGTATATGGTAATTATAATATTGCCATAATGCACATAATGTAATCTGGCCAAATTCACACCTCTTTTACTGTTTCTTATTCTTGTTTACCTCCCTTTTAAAATAGTTTTAATTATTCTATTTTCATACATGTGTTTAAATACCTGTCATAATTACCCTCAGCCCACTTTATCCTCTCTTGTCATTCACTTCCTGCTGGTTCCTACCCCTAAATAGTATCCTCCCCCATTTTTATATATTAGGTCTAATGATTCTGCATGTGAGATACAACATGCAACATTTCTCTTTCTCCATCTGAGTTGTGATTTCCAATTATTCTCATAAAATAATTTATGGATGAATAACACTCTAGTGTGTATATACACCACATTTTATCCATGCATGTTGATAGACACCTAAGCTGACATATTACAAGTTGATGTTTGTCATTAAAGAATTTATATGGAATTGGGAAACATACTAGATATGAAAACATACTAGATATGAAGTAACATAATGGCTGAAGAAGTCTTTAAAATGCTAATATAATAAACACTTGTTTTATCATAACTAAACTCTCATATTTTTTCAGTGAAGCAGAGACTTAGATGTTAAATGATTCGGTAGAGCGCTTGCCTTGAGCTGAAGAGCTGAGGGACAGCGCCCAGGCCCAGAGTTCAAGCCCCCACAGCCGACCAAAAAAAAAAAAGATGTTAAATGATTCATTTAAATAACCAAATTAGTAAGAAGTAAAAATGATAGTATAATACTCTGACTGTAGTGGTTGTGGAATACTAGGCTGGGTATTTTGAAACTAGTACACCATATGATAACTTTCCTTAAGGAGTCTAGGATCTAACTTGGAAAACATGTTATAGACACATAAAATTTTATATATAAAACTATATAATTAAGTTCTATAATGCTATTACCAATAGTATGTACATTCAGATAAAGTTAACTGGAATGGCTAATGAAGCCTTTATGAAGAATAGCATGAACTCTTGAACCAGGACTATCTGGGATGATAGTACTGGCTCAGAAAAAAAAAAAAAGAACTTGGATTTATAAGGAGGGTAAGTCCAGGTGATATTGTTCTGACTGTGGTTTAGTTTTGATAAAGGTAGGTTATAATTATGAAAATGATTACTTAAATATTTAAAATTGAGTATCATGTTAGGTAATATTGCATTCCATACTGTAAAGGGTGATTATTTAGTTTCTTGTATTAAGTATAAAAGGAAGTTTTAAAAGTTAATGTTTACTATGCTCTTTTCTAGTCACTGAGGTTTCAGTTCAGGGAATGACAGATGACTCACTATTGGATGAATGGAAAGCAGATTTCTTTGTAGAAGATTTCCTTGAGAAGTATGTGTTTTTAACCTCAATTTCCCTTTATACTTAGAAGATAAACAGTAAGTTCTTCAGATGGCTGAAAAGGGAATGTTTCTGTCCTTTATCTCATCACAAGTTTTGTTTTATGTGGGGAAAAAAAGACCTGATTGAATCAGAGGAGGGGATAATTACAAGAGATTTAAATCATTTCCTTTTTTAAAATTAAATTTATTTTATTATCTCTAAAATAGTAGTACAAAGCATTTTTATCTTTCCCTTATTTATCATATTCTAATTAGTCTCTGTGTTGCAAAAGACATTGAGATGAGACATATAAATTATGCTTTTAATCAATAAATAAACCTTCTGTGGAAAGTCTCTGTAGAAAGTCTTTTATATTAAGTATAACACCAAAATCCAAAATGCTAACCAAGGCTTACAAAGTCCAGAATGGTTTGATCTTTGCCTGCCTGTCTGACTACTCTGTTGCAGTCACTATGACTCTTTAGTTTTGCTTGGAATATGCCAACATTATTTGCCTCTTTATACCTTTGAATGGCTCATTCCCTACCATATTCAGAGAATTGCAGAAGTATTAGCCCTCCATTGGCCCTTTCCTAACTACAATCTCTAAAATATATTCTCTTATCAACACTCTGGATGTTATTTGGGCCTGGGTACTGTCCCTCAGCCACAGCACCATTTCCAGCTTTACATGCTTATGTGGGACTGAGGAATCGAACCCAGGGCCTCATGCATGCAAGGCAAGCACTCTACCACTGAGCCATCTTCCCAGCCCTACATAGCATTCATTCAGAGCAGGTTTTCTTTTTAATCACTTGGCATTGTTATTTACTTATTTTACTTACTTCATTTCTAGTGTAAGATCTCTTATGCCAATATCCTAATAGTTGTAGATATGTCAAATATACCTCTATCAATTAGAAAACAGGTATGGGTAAAGTTAAAAGAGCCAAAAACAATCAGACAAAAAAATTCCCAGGATTGGGAACTACAGGAAGTTGCTACCCAGCTAAGCTTGAAGAAGCAAGAGGCTGAGCAGTTATCAGTCTTATAAGAACCAAAGCTACAGGGTAAGAGCTGTCTGATAGAGATGTAACCTATAGTAGAAGAGTGCAGTTACTCACAAACTGTGGCCCAACAGGGAAGGAGTTGGAAGGAATAATATTCCAACCGGTCTCATCTTTGATTGCCTGCCAGAGCATCCTGATGGCTGAATTGAACTAGAAGCCGTTGGGCACAAAAGCTTGATTGGTTTGCAGAGATCAGCTTCTCAGATTTGAGAACAGAATAGGCAAATTTGGGTGATTTTGAGGAACATATATTGAATATATAGGACAAGGGCAGTGTATCAATGAGTGGCAAAACTTTAAAAACTATGTCTTTCGCTTCATCATTTTTGATTTTTTAGGAAGTGTATTTTGAGGAAATGATTTGATAAGTTTACCAAGGTGTCTCTTGTGTTATTGCTCATAATAGCAAACAGTTACTACAAACCTTAATTTCCCATAATAAGGAACTAAATACATGATGATTTTTTGATTATGTCAATCAACTTTCACTTCAACAAAATGCTTGAGAAAGAGCTATTCAGCAAAAGGAAAAGCTTTAACTGAAGGTGTGGCTCAAGTGGTAGAGTACCTGCCCTCAATTTAGATTATTTCACCATTCCTCAAAACAGGAAATAAATGAGCCAGGTGCCGGTGGCTCACACCTGTAATCCTAGCTACTCTTAGCTGAGATCTAAGGATCATGGTTCAAAGCCATCCCGGGCAGGAAACTCCATGAAACTCTTATCTCCAATAAACCATCAGAAAAACCGGAAGTGGCGCTGTAGGTCAAGTGGTAGAGCGCTGGCCTTGAGCTAAAGAGCTGAGGAACAGCACTCAGGCCCAGAGTTCAAGCCCCACGACTAACTAACTAATTAAATAAATAAATAAATAGAAAAGGTTTATTTTGGCTCATAGTTTTGAAGGTTCAGCAGCCCATGATCAATTGGCCCTACTGCTTTTAAGTTTATAGTGAGGTAGCATGTCATGGGAGAAGCGTGATATGGGAAAGCAAAATTGCTTACCTCATGGGCTAGAAGTTTAAGAAAGTTGGAAAGTTCGTTTTCAACAAACGACTTGTACATCTCATTGTTGCAATGGGTCCACCTGTATCTCTATTTAAACCATTTGTGAAACCTCATCTCTTAAAGGCTGTAATGCCTCCCAATAGTACCCAATAGTACCATTCTGAGGATCAAACTTTTAACACATGGCCTTTGGAGGACATGTAAGATCCAAATACATGACTGACACATGGGATCCTTCATTCAAAAATGCAGTCAGTGTACATTGACATGGCAATATGCCCATGCTTATTTACCAGAAATGAACAGATTGTAAGCCTCTATGTACATGAATACTATTTACTTCCATTTAAAATATTAAAAATTGAGACATCTATATGATATTAGAATATATTTAGAGTGTTGTGGCCTAGGTGACTTTTCTTTCTGTTTATTGGAATTTGATCATTTTCCCATCATGAAAATGTACAATTTATTAATAAAATGTTTTAAAATTGGATATCAATAATATCAGTAATTTTTATACAGTAATTTTATAATGTCATAGACAAACAATTACAGGAATAGTGAATCCGATTAATGGTGTATTTGAAGAGGTTGTTCCAAGTTCAAACCCAAACTCTCCAACAAACATAGAAGACATCTTAATTACCCTCAAGGATGACAGTGCAACCTTTACATCTATTGAAAGTTTAGAAAATTATCCAGCACTTCAAGCACAGAACCGAGGTATGGCATTTGTTACTGCAGGTATAAAATCTCTTCCTAATATGTATTTTATCATTTCAGTGAGATTTTGTTTAAGTTGATTTTTGCTTTTGTCTTATCAGTGATAACTATCTGTATAATTATGAGTACGCTTTGCCAAGTAAATTTTTCTTCTTTCATTTTTAAAATACATTTTGTAAATTGGATACTATTTGATGTTTGTTTGCTGAGCTTCAAAATAACCTACTAAGATTTGTTCATAATGTGCCCATAACATATTGCTATATGATGCTAGTACTATAGATACAGAGCTCATGATATAGGAATCTAGTGTAACATTAGATTACTAGATTATGAAATTGGGGAGGGGGTGGATACTATTTTTCAAAACATGCTAAAGATTTTTTATTTTATCTAATTTATGAAAAATCAAAGTGCAGAGTGGAGATAGAATAGTTATATGTAGGTCAAGAGATGCACCTAATTTTTGAAAAGTTACTGTTAATAGCAACTTAAATGAGATTTTATCCAAGCTATTCCGACTCTCCTCAGTAGAGAGTGCAGCATTATTCAAATTATGTAAAACTTGCTGAGAGTTGACTTCCTTTTATGTATTTCCTTTCTTGATTATTCAAATTTAAGTGTCTCATATAATTAACTCCCACCACTTAAGAAACGTTAAAGTGGGGCTGGGAAGGTGGCTCAGTGTTAAGAGTGCTTGCCTTGCAAGCATGAGGACCTGGGTTCAATTCCTCAGCACTACCTAAGCAGAAAAAGCCAGAAGTGGTGCTGTGGCTCAAGAAGTAGAGCACTAGCCTTGAACTGAAGAACCGAGGGACAGTGCCCAGGCCCAGACTTCAGACCCCACGACCGACAAAAAAAAAAGAAAGAAAGAAAAAGAAATGTTAAAGCTTGAGTATAAAAAATATTTTGATTAATTTCTCATCATTTTTCATCTGTGTATAAATTAACATTGAAGCTAGGTGCCAGTGCCTCACACCTGTAATCCTAGCTACTCAGGAGGCTGAGATCTGAGGATCACAGTTCAAAGCCAGCCCAGGCAGGAACGTCCGTGAGACTCTTTTCTCCAATAAACCACTCAGAAAACTGGAAGAGGCTCTGTGGCTCAAGTGGTAGAGCACTAGCCTTGAACTGAAGAGCCGAGGGACAGTGCCCAAGCCCAGAGTTCAAGCCCCATGACCAACCTAAAAAAAAAAAAATAGCATTGACAAATAAACATATAGAGATGAGTCCTTCTTGTAGTTTGAAGAAATTAAAGTCTAAACTGGAGAAGATCATATAGCAGAAAGGGGAGGCTGAATTTGAAATCAGATTTTAATTTTCACTCCAAATTTACTTTTACAAAGTGACACAATTTAGGGAAAGTTGTCATCAGATTTTTTTGAGAAGGGAAGAAATTTATGGTTTAAAGTTTTATTTTTCTTAACTTACTATTCTACCTTCTTACCAAATGAGGGGTATAAAATAACATAGGAATATTAAATTATGTATATATGCATAAAGGAATATTTTTAAAAAGAAGAGACTATTACTATTACTATTAATGTGGCAAACTAGAAGACACCGTTAGCTGGAATCAAGTATACACTGAAAGAAAATATGCTTGAATTTCTCAAGTACATATGAATTGTTCATGTCCTGTATTTCTTTTTTTGGGGGGGGGTATGGTCGTGGGGCCTGAACTCTGGGCCTAGGCGCTGTCCCTCAGCTCTTCAGTCAAGGCTAGCACTCTATCACTTGAGCCACAGCACCACTTCCGGCTTTTTTCTTTTTGCTTATGTGGTGCTGAGGAATCGAACCCAGGGCCTCATGCATGCAAGGCAACTGCTCTACCACTGAGCCACCTTCCCAGCCCCATCATGTCCTGTATTTCTAAAGTAGTTCTCTATCATTAGATATCACTTCATAAACTTAGTAATCTTGGCTATATTGATTACTGCCATATTCATAGAAATGTTGGTCTTATTAATTTTTTTTCGGTACTAGTGCTTGAACTCAAGGCATTGAGCTCTTGCTTGGCTTTTATATTCAAGGCTGGTGCTTTACCACTTAAGCCATACCTTTTAGCCCAATAAGAATTTTATTTTTGTTTTTTAATGTTTTTATTGTAAAAACACTGTACAGAGGGGTTACAGTTACATGAGCAAGGTAATGAGTACATTTCCTATGAAGCATTGTTGCCTCCTCCTTTGTTTTTCCCCTACCATCCCTTCCCTCCCACCTCCACAACTATACTTCCTCCCACCCCCCCAACCTAAATTGTAAAGTTCATTTTTCAACATAGTGTCTTGTACATCTCATTGTTACAATGGGTCAACCTTCCTTTCCCCAAATTAGACCGACATCAAATACAGTGAAAACAAGTTATACCATGGGGAAGGAACATAAAAAGCAACAAAAAAAAACCACATGGTGCATTCTAGATACGTTAGAAACAATAGCAAGAAAGAAAAAACCACTTGTGTCCCTATCTTGGGGTTCATTTTCCTTAACATCATCTTATCTGGTCATATGTACATAGCTTTTGACCTTTTCTGCTTGTCCTAGACATACACTAGTTACTGAAAATAAGGGGGGCTGGCAAGGTTGCTCAGTGGTAGAGCACTTGCCTTGCATGCAAGAGGCCCTGGGTTCGATTCCTCAGCACCACATAAGCAAAAAAAGAAAAAAGCTGGAAATGGCACTGTGACTCAAGTGGTAGAGTGCTAGCCTTGAGCTGAAGAGCTGAGGGACAGCACCCAGGCCCAGAGTTCAGGCCCCACAACCGGACCCCCCCAAAAAAAAAGAAAATAAGGGAAACCATGGGACCTATGTTTCTTTGGGCCTGGCTTACTTCACTTAATATGATTTTTTCCAAGTCTTTCTATTTCCTAACAAATGGGGCAATGCCATTCTTTCTGATGGAGGCATAGAATTCCATTTTGTGTGTATGTGTGTGTGTATTATATGTATATATATATGTGTGTGTGTGTGTGTGTGTGTGTGTGTGTGTGTGTGTGTGTGTGTATATATATATTTTCTTGATCCATTCATCCATGAGTGGCATCTGGATTGGTTCCATATCCTAGCTATGGTAAATAATGCTGCGATAAACATAGTTATGCTGATAGCTTTGGTATGGTCTTGTTTGTGATCATTTGGGTAAATGCCCAAAAGTGGGATTGCTGGGTCATAGGGGAGTTCTATGTGTGGTCTTTTGAGGAAACTCCATACTGCTTTCCAAAGTGGTTGAACAAGTTTACACTCCCATCACCAATGCAGTACGGTTCCCTTCTGGCCACATCCCCTCCAGCATCTGTTGTTATTAGAGTTCTTGATTCTAGCCATTCTAACTGGGGTGAGGTAGAATCTCAATGTTGTTTTGATTTGCATTTCTTTTATGGCAATAAGTGTTTTTTAATGTTAGAAAATTATTAATATTAAATTATATCACATACCTTAAAACACTTGTTTACATTTAGATAATTTGAGTCTTTGGCAAGGAAGACAAAAATATCTTTCCTATTAGTGAGCCTCTTTTTTTGCTTCTTTTTATAGTTAACTAGCCTAAGTTTTATTCCTTGTGACAAATTAACACTCTTCTATATCTGTGGGACATACATATAGTGGTAATAATTCCAAGGAATGCTGTTTAACCAACCATGAGAATATAAGGAAGCAGTACTTTGGGTTAGTACAAAGGACATATGGCTGTGGTGAGATGCTGCCCTCAAGTGGCTCCATGAAAAAAGGGTAGTTGAGTCCCCAGCATAGGGGGAAAAAGAGCAGTTGGAAAAGACCTCATGACTGACAGGAGATGTCCCCATGTATTCCTAGTAACTGCAGAATGTGAAGCTAAGTTGGAAAGAAGGCTGTAGGGCCCATGTTTGGAAGAGGAAAGTGAAAATGAAAATATAAACGGCTACTGATTTTACTGTTCATGCAACTTAATGTTTGCAGAATGGATAGTGTAATAGGGACCAAATTATGTTCAACTTCCTCAGATAAACCCTACTTAGACATGAAATTGATTGGCCAGCTTTCTTTAGTGTGTCATAGGAAACTGTAGTTCATGAGATTATTAAGAAATGAACACAGGCTGGGAAGGTGGCTCAGTGGTAGACTGCTTGCCTTGCATGCCATGAGGCCCTGGGTTCGATTCCTCAGCACCACATAAGTACAAAAAGCCACAAGTGGTACTGTGGCTAAAGTAATAGAGCACTAGCCTTGAGCTGAAGAGCTGAGGGACAGTACCCAGGCCCAGAATTCAGGCCCCACAACCAACAAGGAAGAAAGGAAGGAAGGAAGAAAGAAAGAAAGAAGAAAAGAAGGAAAGAAAGAAAAGAAATGAATGGGTTCCCACAAGCAATCTCTTAGGAAACTCTTTTATAAGACAGTCTCGAGTTTTGACATGCCCCTTTAAGCATATTTACTAGCAACTTGCATGCCATTCATTTAGTTAGCAGTGAGAGATATCACTACCTGAAAACTCCATATTCTTCTTCTCAAGTGACATTTTACCATCATTTAACTGACAGGCTATAGCCCAAAATAAGAAGCTATTGGCTTCCAGATTACAGTGGCTTTCACACTGAGAGTTTGGCTTTCTGGGTAATTCCTTCTTTGATTTAATATTTCCCTTTCTCTCTTTCTACTCATGATTTCATTGAAGACCTGAGGAATGTCTTATGTTCCTACTTGTGGCTCAAAAACTGTTTAAGCTCTCATATAGCCAAGATTCTAAAATAACCCAAACACAACAGGGGGACACAAAAAGGAAAAATTTAGTCCAACAATAAATTATTACTAGTAGTGGCTCTTTATCTGTGTGAGAAACCATACTTCTCAAGTAAAAGTTATATAGATATGTAGATATACTTTGCTATGTTATTTTGATTATAATCAGCTTGTTTGTATAGATAACTTTGTAATAAATGAAGGAATCAGAGGAGTTGTCTTTGTTTGGAACTTTTCTACATCATTTTCATTCCTTGCAAGTCAGAGTCTTTTGTAGATGAATTGGAGACCTTACAAGTAAGATGATTCAGAGAACAAGAGGTCAGAGTCAGCCAAAGTCCAATGCTTTTATTTTTTTAAGTTTTGATCCTGTTTTTGAAGGACAAAACATTTTCCTCTATTGACTAAGCTAGTCTTAGTTGATAAACCATAAACCATTATGGTGCAACTCTTGCACTATACTTGGCTGTTCCCTAGGGTCCTAAATGACATTAAATTTTATTGAGTTTTTCTTTATGTTCTTGAGTTTGTTTATTTTTTTTTATTGTCATGGGGCTGTCCCTGAGCTCTTTTTGCTATATATAGCTCCACTTCCAATTTTCCTGTGGTTTATTGGAGATAAGAGTCTCATGACTTTCCTGCCCAGGCTGACTTTGAACCACTAACTTCATAGCTCAGCATCCTGAGTAACTAGGATTACAGCCATGAGCCACCGGCACCCCACTTGTTCCATGTTTTATATGCATGATATAATGAAGAACTATAGGTTAAAAATCCAAGAACTGATTAAAGTAACTAGATCCTTTTGAATAACTTTTAGATTTTATTTCTTTATATTTCTTATTTCTTTTCAGATTTAAATATTGAAGATGATAAAATAAATTTTGTAAATGATTTGGTGACTGATAAAAGTAAACTACCAACTTTGAATACTGTTTCAAGTAGATCAGAACTACTTATGATAAAAGGCCTCCTTTTAGATTTCAAAGAACAGAGCGCTGAAGAAGCTGATTTGTTTAGGTATGTAATTTCCTAATGCTGTTATTGCTTTTTATAAGAGAAGGTATTCTTTGTATGATCACAAGTTTAGATGTTATCAATATTTTACCATTGCTTTATTTCAACTTACTTTTTTATCATTATTTGTTTTATTGGCTATATTTGATATATAATTTGCTCTTTGTAGGCAGTAATTGAGTGTTGTTTCTTTTTTGTTTCAAGGGAATATTTTTCTTTTCAAGAAGATTTGGAAGGTTTTTTAAAAGAAAGATTTTATGTGGATAAAGAAAACTTTTGTCAGAAGAAATTAGTAGGTTTACATGAGGTAATAATATTTTCTTTCAGTATTCTTATAGAAGTAAAGAAGCATGCTTTTTAAAATAAATTTTAATCATCTACATCGACTGTTTAAAATGATCAAATACCTGATAATGCATTGGATGTACATCAATTAAGAGGTCAAATGTACTCGGAAGAAGAAGTTCTCAGCCTTAGCTCTATATTGGAATTACTTGAGGAGTTCAGAAAAGGTTAAAGTCTGGTTCCTACCCAAATATATTATAATTGCTCTGATGTGCAGCTCAAGTATAGAGAATTTCAAAACCTCTGTCAGTAATTCTAATCAAGATGTCTAGGAAATTAAGTAGTTATGTCTAATTTAAAAATTGGAAGCTAAAGCTAGAAATGTTGATTTGTGAGTTATATTTAAAGCAGATAATAGATGAGTTATATGAGAAGTGATCTCATTGAGAGAGTAAATTGTACATGACTGCGTTTTAGATACTGCCAATGTCTAATAAGGGTTATAGCATCTTTGTGTATTAAAGGTCAACTTCTCAAGATAGCCCTTCTCACAAATTTGTTATTACGGTATTAATATATAAAAAATTCTAGCAGTTGGAACTCTAAGTCACAGCTAAACAAACTTGAAATTTTAGGCCATAATACATTAGATACATTTACTAAATTACTTAGAATTTTATGACAAATGAAAATGTTTATATTTACAGCTTTTCTTAATATATTCAAAAGACATACATATAATCTCAAGACATTTAAAGTGTTTCCTTGCTTAGTGCCTTCCTTTCAGGCTTATGCCCCAAATCCTACCTATTCAGGAGTCTGAAATCTGTGAATGGAAGTTCAAAGCTAGCCTAGCAAGGCAGAAAAATCAGACTTATTTCCAATGAACTAGCCCAAGAGCCAAGCTAGAAATGCCACTCAAGAGGCTGAGCACAAGTAGGAACATAAGACATTCCTCAGGTCAGTCATGAATGAGCAAAAGCAGAAGGCCCTGAGTACAGACTGCAGAACCAGCAAATTAATTAATTAATTAAAATGGAATGAAGGGTTTTCTTACAGTTAAAATTTTAACATGATAGTCAAAATAATAATTCATCTATTGTTGTCTTTTTCCTCCAGTTGCCCTTCTCCTCTCCAGTTAATTCTTAGAGTAGTGTGTTTAGACAGTGTCACTTTTTCCTTACTTGTATTCCAGTTCTGCCAAATGAAAGGAAAGTGTATTCCATAGGGGTGGAGCAGAAATTAATTCCCTTACATTATGTCTTTTCACTTCTCCTCATTTATCATCTCTCATTTTCTAAAAAATTTTTTGTTATTGTGGGCCTTGAACTTGGCCTAGGAACTGTCTCTGAGCTCTTTTTGCTCAAGGCTTGTGCTCTACCACTTTAAGCCACAGTGCCACTTCTATTTTACTTGGTGATTAATTGGAGATAAGAGTCTCATGGACTTTCCTGTCTGGGCTAGATTTGAACTGCAATCTCAGATCTCAGCCTTCTGAGTAGCTTGGATTACACTTGTAGCCACCTGTGTCCAGTGGAGATTGTTGTGGGTTTTTTGTTTGTTTGTTTTTGCCGGTTGTGGGGCCTGAACTCTGGGCCTGGGTGCTATCCCTTAGCTCTTCAGTTCAAGGAGAGTGCTCTACCACTTAAGCCACAGTGCCACTTCCAGTTTTCTGGTGGTTTATTGGAGATAAAAGATTCACGGACTTTCCTGCAGGGCTGGCTTTGAACTGCGATCCTCAGATCTCAGCCTCCTGAGTAGCTAGAATTACAGGCGTGAGCCACCAGTGCCCAGCCAGGGATTGTTTTTAATTTACAATTATAAACTTTTGTTGTTAGCCAAAAAGAAGATTCTTCTACAGCTAGGGATATTCTACGTAGGTAATGAGTGACTATAGAAGATGTTACTCCGAACGTTGTTTATAATAAGAATCTATTTTTAATTGTTATACTTGTAGTTTTTAAAAGTATCTATAACATTTAAAAAATTGAGTATGGCTTTATTTTCAAATTAAGTGTTTTTTTAATTCAAAAATATTTACTTGGAAAACCATCCTTAAAACTTCTTTTGATTTTATGTTATTTCAGCTATCAACTTTTCCTTCTCAGTGTGAATCCTTACTATCTACAAATCTCAGACAAAAAATTGATACTCCATCATCCTCAGAACCAAAGGAGTCATTAAATTTCATGCCAGAAGTAATAAATTATATAGATGATAGTGAAAAACTTTTGCAAGGAGGTGAGAATTAACTTTAAAATGTATTTCTTATTTTTTAAAAAAAATCTGTTATCCTAGTTCTTACTAAAATTTTTGTAAAATATTTTATAAAAGGGTTCTATAGAAATGGTGCTGTAGCTCAAAGTGGTAGAGTGCTAGCCTTGAGCAGAAGAGTTCAGTGACAGTACCCCGGCCCTGAGTTCAAACCCCTTGACCTACCAAAAAAAAGTGTTCTACAGGCTGCATGTTGCAATCTCAGAGTTATTATTAATATGACTTTGCATTGCCATTCTTTTTTTCTCCAGTGTTGGAAATTGAAACCAGGATTTCAAACAAGTTAGGTGCACACTTAGAAATAGCTATCAAAGCACTATCCCAACTTGTCATTGTCTTTATATTACTTTTGGGCTTAAAACTCTGAAATTGATCTGAATTTTTCAAAATAATTGTATTAAAAAACCCTAAAACACCCATGACTACACTGATTTTGTGTAAAGTTTTCTTAAGTACAATAGAAGTACTATCAACTTCTTTACTGGTGTTTAACTCTGGAGCAACTCACAAGTAAAGCACTCAGTAAGGATTCATGGAATCAAATGCCTATGAGTCATAACCGATAATTTCATTCCAGTTAGTCTTAATAAATATTAATGAGTTATTTTTATTAGCTCATATTAGTTATATGGGGGCATTTAATTGCTACATCTTCACATGTTTACACTGTATCTGATTAATCTTACCCCATATATCACACTTTCTGTTCCCTAATGAGTTATTTTTAATGACATTTTGAGCCCAAATGTTGTGTGGTACTGGGGCTTGAACTCAGGACCTCTCACACTTGCTTGGTTTGTTGTTTGAGGTTTGTTGTTCCCTACCACTTGAGCCATACCTTCATCAGAAATATCATATACCTCAATATTCATGAATGGAATTTATAATAGTTGTTGAGCTCAAGGAACTAGAGGTTCGTGGTAGGGAGTCTGTGATACCCACTGAGAACCTGATTAGTTGCAACCAACAGAGTACCGACTTTACAATAATTTTACTGTCACATTTCCATCCCTAACTTGTCACATGTTATATTAAAGAGAACACGGTAGGTACCATAGAGAATGTTTAACAAGGAAAATTATGCAAACTATTGAAAGACTGGAGAATGGGGAGTGTTTGAGGTACCTTTGGGCTGTGACAACAGCAATTAAAAAAAAACTATCTGCTTTGTACACCAATGACATTATTTATTACAAGGAGATCTCAACTAATAGCTCCTTTCTTATTTCCCATAGTCATGGTAAATAAAATTACCTATAGATTAGCCAATTCTGAGAATTTAATAAAATGGAATATGGGGCTGGGAAGGTGGCTCAGTGGTAGAGCACTTGCCTTGCATGCATGAGGCCCTTGGTTTGATTCCCCAGCACCACATAAGCAAAAAGAAAAAAGCCAGGAGTGGTGCTGTGGCTCAAGTGGTAGAGCGCTAGCCTTGAGCTGAAGAGCTGAGGGACAGTGCCCAGGCCCAGAATTCAGGCCCCACGACCGGACCCAAATAAAATAAAATAAAATGGTCTTTAGATGATTGACTTCCTTCACTTTGAATTTTTAATTTTTTTTTTTTTGGTTGGTTGTAGGTCTTGAATGGGCCTGGGTCCTGTCAGCTCAAGGCCAGTGCTCTACCACTTGAGCCACAGTGCCACTTCCAGTTTTCTGGTGGTTAATTGGAGATAAGAGTCTCTCTGGAGGCTGGGAAGGTGGCTCAGTGGTAGAGTGCTTGTTTGCATGCATGAGGCCCTGGGTTTGATTCCTCAGCACCACATAAGAAAAAAGAAAAAAGCCAGAAGTGATGCTGTGGCTCAAGTGGTAGAGCTCTAGCCTTGAGCTGAAGAGCTGAGGGACAGCGCCCAGGCCCAGAGTTCAGGCCCCATGAACAGGCCGCCCCCCCCCCAAAAAGAGTCTCCCGGATATACCTGCCTGTTTGGCTTAGAATTGTAATCCTTAGATCTCAGCCTCCTAAGTAGCTAGGATTACAGGTGTGAGCCACTAGCACCTGGCTAAAATTATTTTTAAGTAGTTATATAAAGAAGTTTCAGGCCAGGTGTCAGAGGCTCATGCCTGTAACCCTAGCTACTCAGGAGGCTGAGATCTGAGGATCACAATTTATTTATTTGTTTATTTATCTATTTATTTATTTATTTTTTGGTCTGTCGTGGGACTTGAACTCTGGGCCTGGGCACTGTCCCTCAGCTCTTCAGCTCAAGGCGAGCGCTCTACCACTTGAGCTACAGCGCCACTTCCGGTTTTCTGGTGGTTTATTGGAGATAGGAGTCTCACGGTCTCTCCTGCCCAGGCTGGCTTTGAACCGTGATCCTCAGATCTCAGCCTCCTGAGTAGCTAGGATTACAGGCGTGAGCCACCAGCGCCCGGCTTGAGGATCACAATTTAAAGCCAGCCAACAAAAAAAAAAGGAGGTTTCAGTTCTACAAGTCAGGTTATGAATATAGTACATCTTGATCAATTTTTTTTCTTCCCATCTCTAACCTTAGCATAATATTTTCGTTTATTTGTATTATAGATTATATCAGTACTTTGTTTTTACAACCAAACTATATTACATTAGAGATCTCTATCATATTTGTTTATTCATACAGCTGTTGATAGAGTTTTGGCTTGTTTCTACCTTTTAGATATTGTAAATAATCCTATATGGACATTTATTTGAAGGCTTTGATCACATATTTATTTTCATTTTTCTTAGGTATTTGCCTAGGAGTGGAATTGCTGGGTTATATAGTAACTTTGTGTTTAATGTTTAGAGAAATTGCTAGAATGCTTTCCTGTGGTTGCATAATCTTTCATTCCCAGCAACAATATATGAGAGTTCTAATTATGTACTTTTTCACCCAACTTATTATTCTCTGACTTTTTGATAGCCATCTTAGTGGGTATGAAGTGGTCTCTCATTGTGGTTTTGATTTGCATTTCCTATTGGCCAGTGATGTTGAGAATCTTTTCATATTCTTATTGGCCATTTGTATCTCTTCTCTGAAGAAATGTCTGCTAAGATCCTTTGCCATTTTTATTGGGCTTTTTCCCCTCGTTATTTAATTATAAGCTTGTCCTATTTGTTTTCATTTCTCAATTTCTCCTTTTCTGTCTTGTTTTGGACTTTTTAAGGAAATTTTAAGGAAGAAATTTTAGACAAATTTTACACATTTAGTAGAGAACATGGTATTTTGATCTTTGTATATAGTGAAATGGTTACCATAAGGAAGCTAATTAATGTATCTATCACTTCACAAAGTAACTTTTTTGTGTATAGTGAGAGTACTCACAATCTACTGTCTTAGTGACTTTCACTTGTATAATATATTATTATTCTAGTCATTCTGCTTCCTTTTATACTTTTGTTGACTGTTGGAGAGGGAGAAAAGAAGTGTGCATGGGTCAGAAGATGGGTGAAACAGTTATTAGCCAATTAAGTTAGTATTTCCTCAGAAGTCTCAGTCTCTATTTCATTCTAAAAGGAACATGAAAACAGCAAGGATACTTTAAAAAGAAAAAACCATTCAACAATATTACTAAAAATTAATTTAATGGTGCTTTTGTTGATGGTCAGTTTTTTCCTTTTTTTCTTTCAGATCTCACTACTATACATGGAGTTGATACTGAAAATATAAAAAGCAGTTCCACAGAAATAGTGACTATTCAAAGTCAGAGTGAACCAGAGTGCAGTGAACCAGGTAACAATTGTCAATAAATTATTTTGCTTATCAGGGTAACATATATGATGCAGAAGTACAATATGTTCATATTTATGGTCTACTGTGAGTCAATTTTCCTGTTTCAAGTTTGATCATTATAATCCTAGTTATTTTTTCTTTTTTATCTGTTCCTTGTATTTTCCCTATCAGAGTCCTATCAGCATCAAAAATGAATATATACCTGAGTACTGGTGGCTCACATCTGTAATCCTAGCAACTTAAGAGGCTGAGGTCTGAGGGTCCCCATTCAAAGCCAGCCAGAGCAGGAAAGTCTATGGGAATCTTTTTTTTTTTTTTTTTTGTCATAGGGCTTGAACTCAGGGCATAGATGCTGTCCCTGGGCTGTTTTGCTCAAGGCTAGTGATCTACCACTTTGAGCCACAGCACCACTTTTCGTTTTTCTGATACTGAATTGAAAATAACAGTCTCAGGGACTTTCCTACATGGGGTGGCTTTGAACCAGAATCCTCTGATCTCAGCCTCCTGACTATCTAGGATTATAAGCATGAGCCACTAGAGGTTAAGGATAAGATTCTTACCTCCGGTTAACCACCAGAAAACTGGAAGTGGAACTATGGCTAAAAGTGGTGAAGTGCTAGCCTTGAGCACAAAAACTCAGGGACTGTGCCCATGCCCTGAATTCAAGCCACATGATGAATATTTTTAAAAAAGGTGAATAATAATATATAGAAGAGAGTTACAACGACTGGAGAAATGGAGTAAATAACATTAATATTTAAAATATAAATCCTAAAATATAGCTTAGTAAATAAAATTTTATATTTTATCTTAGCATTAATAATCATGCTGATCTTTATTGCCCTTCTGTAAAGTTTAATTTTTTAATCTCTCAGAGCAATCCTATCATTGTCTGCTATATCACTGTTTTATTAGCTTATCTTGAAACCTTAGAGTCAGCTTTCATTCCAGTATAATGCTAAATTGTTTTTGCTTAGCTATATTGTTGATGATGTTGTTTAATTACATTTTTAGTAGATCACATTAATCAACTATTTAGATGCTTACTGCCTTATTTATTAAAGTGATAAAACCACCCTTCCTACTTAATAAATGATGATCCATTTTTCAAGTTCATTCTATAAATTTGTATTTCTATGCTGTCATCTAGAGTCTAGACTCATTAATGTGAAGAATAATACTATTAAGTTAACATTACTGATATTTAGCATGAAAACAGTACTATCTCTTACATATTAACAACATAAGCTATCAGTATTAAAACCAGTATTTATTTAAAGCTCTTAGCCTTAGCCTTTACCTGACATAAGAAATGCAGTAAATTTAGCTGTCATTGTAATTTTTTAAATCATCACTGTTGTAGTCAAGATACAATGTGATAATACATAATTCCTTAAAAGATGGAAATGTAAGACTTACTTTGTATCTCAAATAACCCGAATTTCAGTTGGCGGAACTAGATTTTTTAATTCAAGGCCTTTTACTTGTTAGGCAAGTACATTACCATCTGATCTATCCCTCCAGCCCTGCTTTTTTTTATGCTGGTTATTTTGGTAATTGAGTCTAGTGGACCTTTCTGTTTAGACTACATTCTACTTCAGCTATCTGGATGTCAGCTTCTTGAGGACCTAGCATTTCAAGCATAAGTCATTGGTGCCCAGCTCTGTATATTTCTTTTCATTAATTTTTTTGTTTTGATAAAAGGATCACATATAAATTTCTTATGAAATATTCTTAATTTAATTTTTATTTTATATAATGCTATATAACTTTTAATTTTTCATATATTCCAGGAAAATTGGAAATACCACTATCTAGCCTCAACACAATAAGCCAACAGTTTTCAGTGAATTTGTTACATACAGAACTTCAAACATTTTCATTTTCTCCTATTTGTAAAATGTAAGTAAAGATTATGTCTAAATATTTGTAGTTGTGACTCAAATGTTAGAGTGCCTGCCTAGCAAGTACATGACCCTTAAAAACGTTCATTATCTTGAGATAAAGTCACTTCATTCTTATACTTCTTCTAGTTATAGAACTAGGAGCATAACCAATACAGTTCCATCTCCCCCACTATAAACCTGGAATATTTTGAGTTCTAAGTAATATACCTTCAGTATAGTTATAGGGAAGTCTTCAAGTCCCTAATGAGTTACTCTATACCTGGAAGAATTATGTCCTAGCTTTGAGTTCTTAGTTATGATGTATGAATCTTCTAGAGAAGAATGCAGTTGGATGACTAGGGACAGCTACATAGGCATCCATAATGGTCTCTATGTGGTAAACTATAGAATGGGGGAAGCCAGTATCAAAGATCCCAAGCATATCTACATTTTCTGTTTAAGAATTATATGCATTTGGGGTATATTATGCTACCATGAACTAGGATAGTAGTCTAGGAGCCCTAAAAATAACACGGGATAGGAATGGAAACTATATATTTGTTTAAATTCTTTTAGTCTCTTAGCTTATGTGAAAGACATTTCTTTAGAGGGCATATACTGTCTTTATTGGCTTATTTTACATTCTTATTACCCTAATACACCTGATAAGGCAATTAGCAATTACAAACAGTAGCAGAAATTAGTATAATCTTGAATTTCAATTTAATATTAAAAGTGTTTATATAACTACAATAAACTATTCAATCTCACAAGTTACATATCTGTTGTTTTTACTCCAATATCTATTGTTATAACTCATATGGAACAAGTCTTATCAAATGTACTATGATTTGGCAATCAGAACAAAAAAGCACTTTTTAATTAGTTAAGGTTACAGAGCCATTTGAAATAACTGAACACTGTCTCATTACTGCTTCATTTTCCAGCAAGAGATAAACCACTTGCATTTGGCTTGTGACTATAAAACTTAAAAATCCCCATTTAGAAAAACAAACTGTTTAAATAGGGATACAGCTGGACCCATTGCAATATTGAGATGTACAAGTCGTTATGTTGAAAAATGAACTTTACAACTTTGGCCAGAGGGTGGGGGGAGATGGGAAGGGATGGGAAGAGGAAACAAAGGAGGAGGCAACAATGCTTGATAAGAAATATACTCATTATATTGCCCATGTAATTGTAACCCCTCTGTATGGTAGTTTCACAATAAAAAAAAAAATCTCCATTTAGGGCTGGGACGGTGGCTCAGTGGTAGGGTGCTTGCCTTGCATGCATGAGGCCCTGGGTTCGATTCCTCAGCACCAAATAAGCAGACAAAGCTGGAAGTGGCGCTGTGGTTCAAGTGGTAGACCGCTAGTCTTGAGCTGAAGAGCTGAGGGACAGTGCCCAGGCCCAGAGTTCAGGCCCCACAACCGACAAAAAAAAAAATCCCCATTTAAAAAATTTATCTAAGACTGGGGACATGATTCAGTTTGTAGAGTGCCAAGCCCAAGGTCGGTCCTGAATTCAAATCCCAGCACTGCCAAAAAAATTGATTATTCCTCAATTATAAAGCTAAAAGAAACTGCTAAAAAACGATTTAAAGTGAAGATAGTAAACAATGTACCTTTAACTTTTTATATTCAATTACTTTTATTTCAAAATACAACATTTTGGATGTAAGTATAATACTCAGTTAATGAATATTTTTAGTGTTTATACATGTAAGAAACTATGCTAAATTTCAGGGGCTGAAAAGTCTGCATGATATTTTACCTCCATAGTAACTAGCTACTTGAGAGCATATTTTTTATGACCAAAGAATGAATCAATTTCAGGTATGTCTTCAGAAAGCTTTACTTTCTCAAAAGCAAAAATATCCATGGTATACATGGAAACAAAATATTTCCTCTTTTTTCTTTAAAATACTTGCTTATAACAAGGTATCTATCAAAGAAACCCTGATAAGATTCAGATTTTTCTATCACATGACCATGTTTTTGTATTACATGAGTAAAACTGGACAGTTTAGATATAAAACCTAGCTTATTCCTACTGTACATTGTCAGTTTAACTAGCAGTATTCATAATTAGCATCTGCATATATATAACTTATGAACAGAGAAACAACATGATCAGTTCTCCATCAGTGTAAATGAGAGGTTGGAGACATAAAGGACTTGTCCATTATGTCTCTGCTCTGCCAAGAATGGTAGTATTTGTTACTGATGAGCTGTGGTTTACACTGTCATGAATATTTCCTCCCTTTCCCCTTAAGGGCCCCAAAACATACACAAACACACATTACATAGCCATACATGTATCAATATTGAAGAATCTAAACTAATGTTAAGACTTGAAAAGTCTTAGGGAATGTAGAACCAATAGGACTTTCTCATGGTTCTGATTCTTAGCCAATAGAAGGTCCACAGTTTCTCCATAAATAGATTCAAGGATAGCAATTTCATAAACAAAACAAACAAAAACAACAAGCAATGGAAATATCTACATAAATGATAACCATAGTAGTTTTACTTACCTTGCATTTTTTGTTTTTGATGGCTTATAGGCTTGGTATTATCTAGTTTATGAAGGAAAGTGCTGAAAGAATCCCAAGTCAGTGCCCTCTGGCTCCACATTTCATTGAAGGAGACAGAGGCAGGAGTAATTTTATAAGGCAAACAGCAGTTACCTAATTAAATAATAAAGGAATGTATCAATGACCAGACCTTCCTAGGGAAGGAATAAGTAAATATTTGAAATTGGGTCTTTGGAGCTCTACTTTAGTTTATATGTTTATAAAATAGAGTTATTTTTTCCACTTGTATGTGAATGTAAAAAATACAAAATATTTTTCTTTTTTTTAATTTTTTTTTGGGGGGTCCGGTCATGGGGCCTGAACTCTGGGCCTGGGCGCTGTCCCTCAGCTCTTCAGCTCAAGGCTAGCCCTCTACCAACTGAGCCACAGCGCCACTTCTGGCTTTTTTTTTCTGCTTATGTGGTGCTGAGGAATCGAACCCAGGGCCTCAGGCATGCAAGGCAAGCGCTCTA